AAATTTCATTCTGATGAAAAAATGAAATCCATTCCTTCTGACATCTCAGAGAGATAGATAGACCTGCCAGTTTCACTGCCCCCTATGTTCTGTTTACATTTCAAATTCTTTCCCTGAAAAATATGAGCAGTCTATGGATCTGGGTATTCTTGACCAAGGTGGCAATCCTAATCCAGCAGTATTAACACAGTTGAATACACAGAGATTCAGATCCAGGATTTTATGAGCAAAGGCATTCAACGCTCTTCACCTAAACAAAGACATCTGCCGGTTTGGCTTTCTCCCACATTCTTTTCTTTTAAACCTTAAAGTTCTCTCTGTCAGCTTTATGATGAATTGTGTATATTTTAGTAAGGTCTTATAAAGAAAAACAAACCAATTTTTCACCCATCAAGTTTGCTGCACACAGGCAAGAGAATGTTGATCAGGCCATTTAACCCACTTGCTTGCTTAGTAATACAAGTTTTCTGTTTTTGATGTTTACATCGTTTGTGCAAATGCTTTCCACATCTGCCACAGCTGTTCCAATATTCCTATTCTTAGATCACAGCCAAGATTTTGCACTATTTCTGGGTCATGCTTAGCATTTTGCAAGATTGAGATGCTGAATCCTAATGGTTGGGCACATTTGTAAGGGCAAAGTTCTCGTAGAGATTATGATCATGTTGCAAGGCTGGTTAGTTTGCTTATTTGTTTTTATAAACAAATGTCAAGTGTAGTTTTAGCATACATGCCTTTGGTTCTTAACAAGAATATTATAGAACAACAGATGTGGGTATTTGTGTTCGGTAAAGGGAAAGAGACAAATAATACCCACGTCATCTGATTGAATTTTCTTTCTTTCTTTCATTTCCATTTGCCAATCTGTTGGATAAGCAGGCTCCTGGAATTGATTATTCTTCCAGTCTTCCCTGCGTTTAATCCAATTGTCACCCCTTCATTTGTGATTTTTTTTTTAACTGGAAACTTGGCGCTCAGCTTTCACTTGTGTTGCCTGGATGCAGATGGGTTGATCGAAAGGAGGCAGATGTTGTTCCAAACATGTGGCATCATCTGGCACTTGACTTTGCAACTGGCTGAGAGATAAGTTTAAGTACATGTTTACACCTAGTTACGTCTAGTGATTCTTTTCTCCCCACTCTCCACTTTGCATCTGTTTCCCAGATTACACCAATGAAACAAAGAATGCATTTCCAGTCTACAGATCCCCATGCAGTCTTTGGTGTGAGAACCTATGAATGTGCACATGCCTGACAAGACAGCTTACATCTTCATATGTTCAGGGTGTTGATTGTGGAGCTTCTGGTGACCCTGGAAGGTTATGGGCAGCACAGGTGCTCATGTGACGATCCTCATAGCCACACCTCGAAGAAGAATCCAAAAATGCAGACAGTGGGATTGATGGTTAACTAAATGGGCATGTAGCTGCCCACAAACAGCAGTGCAGTGGTTAACACGTCAGATTTTGTGTAGAGGACTTGGGTAGAAATGGAACAAGAAGAACACTGCATATTCCCAACAGCATAAAACCACAAGCGCAAGTTTCTCAAGAAGCTTCTTTTCCCAACACCAGAGGGAAGCACTTTGTTTCCAAATCATCAGCCAGCTCTCTCAGTCTTCACCTCTACCAGGAGCAAGTCTTTTGCAAAGTTAATGGAACTCAGGATCAAGCCATCTCTCTCCCTGTCCCCCATAAGAGCCAACACAGCTCACAATAGACGGTAGGTAGGGTAATCTGTTCACCCAAAACTCCTGCTATAGCGATTACAACTAACTACAGAAGAAACTTCAAAGTTGGTGGAGCAGAGGGTATCAGTTGAAAAGTCCCAGCACTTCAACACCAAAAGATGGGGGGGGGGGGTTGGTATATTCAGCTACCATTCTAGCTGTTTAGCATTGATGGAAAAGATGGCACTGATAATCTGCTAAAGAGTGTGTGCTCAGATTATACCTAGTAAATATTATTATTTCTACCACTCTAGCAATTGAGCATAGTAGTGGGTTGTTTTTTCAGCTTTTTAATCTTACCTTTAACCATATGTTGTCTGCCTATCATTCTTAACATTTCACTTTTTGTGATAGCTAGATATTGAGTAGATACTCGGAGCTTAAAGAAGTTATTTTTTGGGACTACAACACCCATAATCTCCCAGCCAGCTATAGTCTTTACCTCCTTTCTGTGACCCTCTTTACAAAATCACCATGAAGATTAGGATTCAGCATTTGGAGCATGCTTAATGTTAGCCATAATCCTAAAAATAATGTTTTGAAAACTGAAACAGCTGTTGTCATTGTTAAGAGCACTTAACCAAAAGGATGTATGATGAAAAAGAACGATTTCCCCTTGATTCAATCCACAGCATTTTGAATCAAGTAAAATATAGTCCTTCTTTCAAATAATGTAGTCCTCCTTATTCATTCATTAATTGAATACTTTAAAGCTATATTTAAGTATAAACTTTATAGCACGTATTAATATTTTCAGTATATCTATTTTCTTCATTCATAGTACACAGGAGGTTTCCTCACCCTAGGGCTGTCTCAATGCACATCCAGCCTTCCTGGGAAGCAAGGTGGTGATGGTGGTGGTAAACAGTCAAACAGTCCTTGAGGGTGCAGGATTGGGGGAGGTTTATTTTACACAGTCTGTCTGTCGCTTCAAAGGACATAGGTCCAAGAGATCTGAATGGGACCCACTTCTAAGAGGAGGTACATAGGAATGCCTGATTATTGACTTTAGGACATCTCGGCGAACTGATATACTGGGCTATGTTCATTTTTTATCAGTAGAGTACCAGTGAATACTTACTCTCTGGTTCTGAGAGGGAAAGTTACTTATTTGGACTACCACCAGAATGGGCAACAACATGCTAGCCACGCTGCCTGAGTTGTAGTTGTAGTTGCCTGTGCGTTGTAGCCCGAAAAACAACTTCCCCCACATCTGCTCTGGATTAATCTATTGGAAATAGTGGGGTTATGTGCCAGTGGTGAAGACCCTGCCCCCCCCCCAACTCCCATCAGCTCCAGCTATCATGATGGAGATGTCTTCCAACACTCCATGAAGGATCTCAGGTTCCCACCCAGGACACACACAACACCCCTTTGGAGAAGTTATTTTCCATGAACCATTTGTTATGGCATTTGTTCAAAAGCTACCAAAGTAATTCTTTACTATTGTCGCTCATAGCTTCCAAAGGGCTTTTTTCGTGCTTGCTGTTTTCGGGAGAAAATTTTATTTATTTATTTATTTATTTGATTTATACCCCGCCTATCTGGTCTACTCGATCATATCTTACAAAAAATGAAATTTCTGGACTACGTCTCTGGCTGTGGAGCCAGAGATTGGGAGTTTGATATCCCACAGTGCCTCCTTGAGAGAGTCTGGACTGCATGACCCAGAGGGTCCCTCCGGCTCTGCAGTCCAAAACTTATATTATATTAAAACAATGGCACAGAACCTGGATGGTTTTGTCCCAAGTGTCAAAAGATTTTTTCAAAAACTTAATTTAAAAGTAACTGTTAGCAGCAACCTGAAACAGTTACTGGATAAAACAAAACAAGGGTGGCCCCACTTGCCCCGTCGTTTTCCGAGATGTAAGCTCACCACAGGGCCGTTGCAAAACGAAAATGGGGGGCTCTGCCCTATGTGTGGTGTTCCCTTCAGGCCTTCTCTCTCCGCCTTGAACCCGGAAAGCAAACTCTGTAGGATAAAAAGTGAGAAACTATCCGTACTCTGAATGTATATAACGGGGCATTCTCAAAACGTGTCTGTCCTTCATGCATTCGCGTCTTTTCGACGACCGCCATCCCAGAGAACGCGGCGCCTCTTGACTCAGGGCCGTCTGCCCCTGGACGAGAGGCGTTGTTGGGAACGAAGACACACAGACAC